GGAGATATTACTTCTCCGTATCAGGTATAATCCTCTCCTATTCCTTTTGGTTCAGATCTGGTTCAGTTTATGGTTCAAGAATGATCATTGAAAATATGATTTTCTAAATAGGGAATGCGATTCTCAGTTGAAGGGAGAGAAAAATTTTTGAAATTCGCCCCCTTATTCCTCAAGATTTGGGCGTCCATACGATGGATCTCTCATCCCTTCACTTCAGCCATGTGGCGACACAGAGACTTATTGAGGAAAGTCAACTGGCTTACAAGAAACATGACCGTTACCTCTCTTTGGGTGGAAAGATCAGCAAATACCTTAGCGGATGGGTTAGCTAAGCAGGGGGCTTCAAGGGAACATTTATTGCCTTATTTTTTCTGAATTAAAAAATTATCTTCATTCATCAAAAAAAAATTTCATTAATTAAAATAACGAGTGTACAATAAAGCTAGGAAGTTCCCCAACCACCCTTTTTTAGTTTTACAAATCCATCCCAATTACAAATCAGCCCAAAACGTATGAGATTATTTTATTGGGATTGTTCTCTCCTCTGCTCCACTTTAGCATCTGCATGTATCCATCCACTACTTCTGCATTCAGATTTCTTTGTATGCAACTCCCTCCACAATTCTTGAATTCTTGAGCATTTGATATACAGATGTTTTCAGGAGCATTCTGATCACATAGCTAGCAGCCTGCTTCTAGAATTACCACAATTGGTTGTAGCCGTACAGCTGTTGGTAACCTGTTCCTTTGGATCTACCATAAGTGAACTTGTATCCTTGGTGGACAGGCAAGCAGTTCCTCGTTAAAGATAAAGGCGCAAATGAGCTGGGTCACCACCTGAAGGTTTTATGAAGTTAAATTTTGATGGTAGCAGTCAGGGCAATCCACGTCATTCCAGGATGGGAGGAGTTATAAGGAATGAAAGTGGCTCTGTAACTCTGTTATATTCAGGCCCATTAGGTGAGGGGGCCTCCATTAGGGCAGAACTGCTTGCTGCCCTTCAAGGGGTAGAGTTTGCTGTACAGCTAGAAGTGGAACAGCTAGTAGTAGGAGACTCCAGGGTGGTTGTGGGGTGGTTACAGAATCCAGAGACAGTAGTTTGGCATTTCAAGAATGAACTTAAAAAATTTAAGTGTTTGACAAGGAATTTGAATGTTAGAATATAATGGGTGGGGAGATCTGCTAATGCTATGGCTGATTGCTTAGCCAAGCAAGGGGCAACTAGGGAACAGTTATATTGGGCACAGTTGTAATCTATTTTAGTTTTTGATGGGTTGGAGAGGTTGCAGCTCATGCCTCTCCAAGTATCTTTTGTAATTGTTATCTGTTTCTATCCTTTTCCCTAATAAAATTTCTCATTTATATAAAAAAAACTCCACTCCATACCTTAGCACTCAATTCCTGTCTTCCTATTGCTCTAGCTCTCAATTTTGCATGCTATTGTATACAATGTGTAGCAGATTTGAGAGTGAACTTTCCATCTTTGCAGTACCACAAGATTGGTTTATCTGCTTCCCCATTTAGAGACATGGGCATGGCATGGATTTGATCAATAATATTACTTGATAGTATTCCAGGCAGGTCATCCAGCTTCCAATAATACCTTGGCACTTGATTCCTGTCTAGTATTTCTGTTTAGTTTTAAATGTTGATAATTGATCATTATCTATTTGAGATTGTTTGATGAAAAAATTCTTTCCAAGGGGTTGATAACTTGATATATTGGTGTTCACACCTTGGAAATTACTTAGGCACATGAAGCTATTCTTAGGCTGATGAAGTTGAATCACTTTGATTGTTAAAGTGATGCTCTTTTACAAATAATGAAATGCCTAATTATTAATTTAGGGTAAGTGATGAGATTTACTTGACTTCATGCTATATGTTGTTTTGACATATTTTCCTTGTATAACCAGTTCTGGTAGTGGCATTGGAAAAGGTGGAACGGAGTTCAGGGTCATTAATTGGGAGTAGCATAGCCTCAATTCAGAAGAGTACGGCTCCTGAGGTTAACTTTAGAACTTCTGAAGCATTTATCCAAGGTTGAAATTTCATACTTACTGTTGGATTAATGATGCTTTTCTTTTGTGTTATTTTGCAGATGCTACTTGCACTCATGGATGAAGCTTATACTGGTTCGACCATTGAAGACAGAGGGGGTGGCTCTGAATCTGATGATAACAATACTATAGATGTTGCAGATTCTGTATTTCTTGACCTCCTTAAGGATGAGAACGATGGGCTTGCTGTATGATCCCATCCATGTTGTCCATATGCATATGCTATATTTCAAACAATGATACAAACAGAGATTTTGGAAATAATAACGATTTATGGTATATTTTGGAGATATTTGTTTTCAGTCCCTTCTGAAGCCAGATGCATCTTGATTCTTGATTGTTCCATGAAATTATAGAAACATCCTTAATTTTTGTAGAACTTGATTGATTTGATAGGCATACTTGCTCCTTACTGTAAACATTTTCTGGACATCTTTTTTCCATATATTCCAATGTAATTTGGCCAATTCTGAACCAACCAAATGATATGACTATTTTATTCTCAATTCAGGCCTTGTGAACTGTTGCTACCTGCATTTATGTTTGGTCCCATTGTTTTAAGCATTTCCATATACTATTGCATTGTACAGACATCCCAGTTCAGTTTTGTGAGTGCATAAATCTTTTGTATTATTCATTGCACATTTATCTCCCTTGTTCTATAAGATAAATATTGCCTGTATAAAAGTCATTATTTTCTTTATCAATCAATCATGTGCTTAATGTTTGATTTATTCCTCTTAGGAGTTTTGTCCAGTATTTTCCTTTTAGATTTGAATCAGATACTAGATCCATTTTGCACTACAGTGTATACTAGATTCAATGAGGATAACATCCGTCCTTTTAACTGCCAGTTGAAATGAGTAATTTATGGTCTAGCTAATGTTGTATTTCAGGAACGCCAATGGACTTCTCCTGGGATGGCCGCAGCATTGCAAGCTGCAATCAACACACCTCAGTCTGAGAGGCTAAAACAAGCATTGAGCATGGCACCACAGCTGCTTGACATGTATTTTGCTGTAGCTTTGCGAGATGTCAATAATTGTATGTTGGTTACTCGATTTTCATTTGTGGATGTCTGATAGCAGTTCTTTGTTGTAAGATCTTCTTAATTTGCATGGTGCCTTTTTGTCCAAATAACTTAAATAAGAATTCTTACATGTATGTGAACTGCTGTTGCAGCACTAATCTGTGCGCTAATTCCACTGCTTATGTCGAGAAATGCAACAATATTTCCTGACAAGGTTTTCTCATATGAGGTGTGTGGTAAACTTTATGTGAAATCAATGTCTAATGAGTGTTCTACAGAAGCTCTTGTCCTTGGCATTGCCAATTTTGTTTCAATTTATAACATAAGTGCACATATAGAATAAACAACTTGTAACTACCTGCAAGTAAATCTTGCCAGAGATTGGACATGTGATTAAAAGGCACCTTAGGATGTATAGTTTGAAAGAAAATTACTTTGTTCTTTTCTCCTTGTATAATATATACATATGATAGTGTGCTACCATTTACTAGTATTTTGCATGACTTTGTAATGCTGATAGCTATACAATTTTTTCCCTTTTTTGATTGGTGGATGCCTATGCGGGTTTACCTTATAGACACCGACAAATGAAAAATTAAATATTTATAGATGCAGTGATTTTTTTTCCTGTCATTCTAACTCAACCTTCTGTTTAATAGCATAGAAGTGCTGATTTATATGTGTACCTTAGTTTTTATAGTTTTAATACAATAAGATATGCCCTGTATCAGGCGTATTGTAGCGTATCTTTGGGTCCCCAATACACCTGTTTACAGCTGTTTTCGGGAACCCATTTCTTTATTAGATAATATAAAAATATGTTTACTACTAAAATTTGAGAAGAAAACTAAAAAAATAAAAGGAGTATGGTTTAAAGTACCGATACACCTCTGCCGATACACAAAGGTGTATCGATACTTTGAACCATGGTTTTAATGGCATTTAAGTACTTGTAATTTACTATCCTTTTAACTTGTCTTGGGTGCAAGGAAGTTATTATTTCTGAGATGGAGAAAGCTGAATCTTAGCCTAGAAGTTCAGTGTAGTGATCTTCTAGGCATTAATACATCACAATTGTTATTTTTTCTGCTAAAAGAAAATGTATTGTATTACTATATGACAAATATCAAGTGAGATCACAAAAGATAAACCCACATCTTCTATACACAAGAGACTGTACACCCACAATAATGACTCATCACCAAAAAAATACTAGATGAGATGAGTCTAGCCTTTTAATTTTATATAATCTTCAATTTTTATGATTCTTTGGATTTTATTTCTATCACATCTGTGTGATATGCTGTTGGATTCTGATTATTCTTTGATGCTTCTCATAATAAATCAATGATCTTGTGAGGCTCGAGTACTTGATGAAGTTAAACTTCTAAGAAGTTGTAAGTATTTGTTGCAGATCCGGAGGAGGCTTTTAGAATTCATGCTAGCTTCATTTCAACGTTCTCCAGATTTCATTGCACTATTAAAGGTATTCTGTTATTAAAATCTAGTTTATGTATTAAAGAAATTTCTTTGTTAATTATCTACATTTTTACACAGGAATAATAATCATGATGTCATATTGGATGATTGGATATTTATCCAAAGTATCAGAAAGAAGTTGTTTCCTTCTTTGGACATTTAGTTCAGTTTTATTCTAATCATGAGAGTTTAAAATAGTATAGCTGAAAATCTAAAATATAATCTATCTCAATCCTTTTATTATATCAAAGATTGCAATTATTTCCAGGGGTCCATTTATCAAAAAAAAAAAAAAAATCCAGGGGTCCATGTAATGATGAGAAGATCAGACCCTGGATTTTATCAGTTATGTTGTTTTGGGTTTTCTGGGTACTGTAGAAGTGAAGATGGTCTTCTTAAATGGGGCATATAACCTTTCTCATCTCAGGCTTATAAATAGTGCTTGTCCTCGGGTATAAGCTTGGCTCTGCCTTGACTGATCTTGGCCAGAACGGATGATGATGTGGGATGCCAAGAAGAGAAGAACATTGAGCTTGCTTGGATGATTTCATCCTGTCTGGTTACATTTTTTTAGTTAGAGGGGCCTCTCCTGGCTGTTTGGTGTTTACCTAGGGTCTGTTAATTACATCGATTTGTTGAGAGTGTAAGGGCATTTATGTCCTTTCATGTTTTTGTATTTGGGCACCTATTCAAGGGCCACTTTGTAATTTTCTTCAATAAGTTAAGTGAAAAGATTTTAGGGTGTGAACAGTAACACACCTGAGTCTCTCGAAAAAACCTCTTCTTCTTCTCTCTGAATATCAGAGCATCGTAAGATCAAGGAGGGCATCAGCCACTGTTTGTGACTCACAGACAAACTTGCTAACATCAGCACGCCACCGCCTGACGTCAGCAGTCCATACAGTCAGCGGCGTCCATATGTGCTTTTGATGCCCGTTGATGTGCCTTGTTTTTAGAGGAATTTTGATATAGCTTTCATGGAGGTTTGGAGCTGTTTTATATTTTTCTTGGATTTTTTGGATGAAAATTGGTGAAAAATCCAGATCTGGAGTTTAAGGCTTGCATGCTCACATGGTGGGTTGGTTGATGCTAAATCCTCTTGCATTTGAATTGTGGTAAATTTCTGAGACTGCAGGAAGTAGTCTCAGATATTTTTGGAGCCCTAAAACATTTTTGGGAAATTTTTTTCTTCCCCTATTTTGCTGCCAACACCTATTTTTTCTTGTTTTATTGTTGTAGTCCATGTTTAGCCTTGAGGGAAAGGTGTTTGGGTGTTCAACTAATGTTGGGATACTGTGGTGTTGGTGAGAAAGGTGTTTTAAAGGGGTGGTGATCGATGGACTCACACAAAGATGTTCGCATACCTACCTATGTCCTCCCGGGAGGTAACGACAATGCTAGAGGGCAGATTGCTACTGTAAAACTTGATGGAGCAAATTTTCTTGAATGGTCTCAATCAGCTAAGCTTACAATTGGAGGAAGAGGTAAGCTTGGATTTATTACCGGTAAGGAAGCTAAGTCGAAGCCTAAAGATCCAAATGATTCCAAATGGGAGCAGGATAATCTACTGGTTATGTCATGGCTTGTATGCTCTATGCAGCCTCACATCGCCCGCAAGTCCGCAACTATATGTTCCTTCCAACAGTTAAGGACATTTGGGATAGGTTAACTGCAACTTATTCTCAAGCAAAGAACACTGCTAGAATCTATCAGTTGTGAAGAGAAGCATGTAATATGTGACAAGGGGAGAAATCGGTGGCATGTATTTCTCTTCCTTATAATCAGTTTGGGAAGAAATGGATCATTTAGAGGCTTTGGAGTGGAAGGATCCTGTTGATGCTGAAATTTCTAGGGGTACATTTATCAAAAAAAAAAAAAAAAATCCAGGGGTCCATGTAATGATGAAAGATCAGACTGTGGATTTTGTCAGTTATATTTTTTTGGATTTTCTAGGTACTGTAGAAGGTGAAGATGGTCTTCTTAAATGGGGCATGTAACCTTTCTCATCTCAGGCTTATGAATAGTGCTTGTCCTCAGGTACAAGCTTGGCTCTGTGTTGACTGATCTTGACCAGAACAGATGATGATGTGGGATGCCAGGTAGAGAAGAAAATTGAACTTGCTTGGCTGATTTCATCCCTTCTGGGTACATTTTATTAGTTGGAGGGGCTTCTCCTGGCTGTTTGGTGTTTACCTAGGGTCTGTCAATTACATTGATTCACAGTGTTGTGTTAGACTGGATTTTGATTTGAAAAACTCCTCTTAATGTAGATGAGGAAAATAAAAAAAATGGAAAATATGATTGAGCATATACTTAAATTTTCTTCAGAATTTTGTTGTGATTTTTCTTTATTCCTCTTTTCATTTTTTCCTCTGAAGCAACTATAAGTTGTGCATTTTATAGGATAAATTATTAATACCTTCCCTGGGGTTTCAGTAAAATACTTAATACTGTCGCTTGGGTTTACCTAATACCCACTTGGACCACAAAACTACAGGTCTGCCAATGGAAGAGACAATTAAAGTGGAAATAGGTATTTTACCAGAGTGCCCTTTAACAACCTTAATAATAAAATTATTAGTTTTGCTTCTAAAATATATATTTTGGAATTGGTAATGGTACCCTCAATTATAAACACTAAATGGAGTTTTAACATCTCAACTTGTATATCATTTTAATATTTTCTTGGAACTGTTTTCAAGTTTTCATCCCATCTTAAGCTATGGAGAGAAAAGTTTGCCCCTCCAAAGAGGTATGGATTTTGTTAGTTTAATATACAAGAAGGTGCCAAAAGGGTAAATGGACTTCTAAATATTTTTATATGTTACCTGAGCACTTTTAGTCACTAAAACTGAGGCATGTTATCCCTCCATTTTTCCCATTCTTTATTTATTCTCTTTTTTCATTTTTTTTTGGGGCAAGGTGCTGTTCTTTGAAAAAAGATGTGGTTGATGCATATAGAGACATTTTATCTTGCAGGAGTACAATGTAATAATAAATAATTGTGTTGGATTTTCCTGGGTAATGGTGCTTAGGTTTCTTTATTATAATACCGGTGTTTTAAATAGCATAAGAGTTTTATGCTTTGAGGCAAGACTCAAGGGAAATACCTTGATGGTCAACCTTGAGGCTCATGCCTGAAAGTATAAGACTCATTCCTCACCTTGAGATGTCTCGTGCATTTGTATATATGTTGTCTAAAGCACACACACAAACACATCATCATCATCATCATCATCATCATCATTGTTTAAGCCTTGTCCCACCTATATGGAGATGGCTTTGTGAATCCTGTTTCGCCGTTCTGTTCTGTTGAGTGCCAATATCCATTGTTAAATTATGAATGCTTAATCATTTCTTACTACTTCAACCCGTGTCCTTTTTGTTCTGCCCCTAGCCCTTCTAGTCCCTTCAACTTGCAACAAATAAAAAAAAAGAAAAAAAACTTGCAACAGATTGCTTCTTCTTACAGGTGCTGTAGATGGTCTTCTATTCATGTGACCAAACCATCTTAGTCTACTTTCTCTCACTTATCACCTATTGGAGCTACTCCTAGGTTCCTTCAAATGACTTCATTCCTGGCGTTATTCCTTTCTCTAGCTTGTTTTTCCATTCATCCATCTTGGCATATTTAAAGACAAAATGTTTTACATTTTAAGCATTCTAACAGTATTATTAAATGGCCTATATAATTTTGGCCTAGATAATTTTATTGACTCTCTAGAGCTTTTGATGTTCTTATATTTATTATTTTTTTGTAATCAGATTTTCATTTATGTACTCTTCCTATATGAAAATGTTCTCCTTTTGTGCATGTTTCCACACTTTTCTCATTTTATTCATGTTTTATTCCTAAAACAGTAGTAACTTGTGAGGCTTATGCCTCATGCATTTTCTCCTTGCTTAATGCGTCCATGTTTTTAAGTGTTGTATGATATTTACATTGATGGTTCACATAAAATCCTTTGCAGAAGCCTATAATTGATAGACTGGGAGAAGCTTATGATAGCCCTGCAAAGGTAAGATTCTTACTGCAATTTTTCTTTTTTACACAAACTGGTGAATGCATTCTTTTGGATAATTAAACCAGTAAATGGATTTAATAGGCAATACACAGTATATGTCTATTGAATCTGTTTAAACAGTACTTGTTCCCATGAATATTTTCTTATGCAGACAGAGTTAGCATTACAACTTTGTTGGGCTATTAGCGAGCATGGAGGTGGTGGTGGTTCTCATAGAGATGCAGCTCGAGAGCTCTTTGAAAGCTTAGAATTGCTCTTGTATGAGAACCTTTCATCTAGGTTAGTATTAAACTAATCTATGCTCCATATAGTTTTCTTTATGGCATTGACCTCTCATAAGCTTTCAATTGTTTTCTTTTATTTGTTTTTGGAAGTCGTCTGGGTCTAAGCCAGGAGTCAGCTCTTAGTTCAAATAGTGCAACTTTCAGAAAATCATCACAGGCTAGGCTTTTGTGTTTCGTTATTACAGCAATTGCGAAGCTTGCTACATACCATCGTGAGTTATTACCAAGGGCACGTGTATCTCTCGCCAAGGTTTGTTTTTGTGCAAAGTTTTCTGAAAGCTAGTCTTCAGATTGTGTACAGAATCAATTAGCATAAGCAACATTGGATTTGTATCACAGGTAGCTCGATCACGGAACTCAGACATGAGGGTTTTGAGGCGGGCTCGTGATTATTTGGGATTAATGAATGAACCAGCAATTTGCTTATCTATTTTGGGACCACCAAGTGGTGTCCTACAGGGTCCAGGCACTGTCAACTGGAATGAAGGTGGCTCAAAGATGATTGCTCATATTCCATTCTATATTCTAAGTGAACAAGAAGGTAAGGGTCTTTCCCAATGATTATGCCAATAAATAGTGTTTTAAATTGCTTGTATGAGGCTATGGGCTTTTATGATGATGCAGTTTGCTCACCTACATGTATGGGTGGTTTCACATGACTTGGTTTACAGTTATTTACTCTATGATCTTATGTTAGTAAATTGTCACTGATGAGACAAATAGTTTGTTGATTTAGAATATCATACTTTACAACAACCTGAACAAGAAGTTATTGCGAAGTGAGATTTGGTGTATAGTTTGAATCTCTTGTTCTACTTTACCACAGAGATCTGCTAGCTCCATGGCTGATCTGCCTGCACAGGAAAGTACTAGGAGGGAGACACTATCCATTTAGTGGTGTCTATTGTATTCTTTTTCACACCTCCCTGCTTAATTTGTATTTCTTTTTTTTTTCTTTGGGGGGGGGGGGCTCTTCTGTGTTGAGACATTTTCTGTGCTTATGTTTTTATTGTCTTTCTAAATTCCAGTTATTATATACAAGCAGTTGGAATATGAAATCTGAGTAATTTTGGAAAACAGTAAGAACAGTTACATAAATACAGCACAGATTTCAATGTGAAATTACAACATGAAATAAAAGTGGGGTTACCATACCAGCACATCAGACAAAAACGAACAAGCATAAATTAAAAAAACAGAATATTGAATTAAGTTGATAAAAAACAGAATATAGAATTAAGGGGATGTATGACCTATTCCAAATTTCTGAAACTATATATTGTTCTTTTCCCCATCTATTATCCTATTTGTTTCTCTTTTCTTTAGTACTAGTAGATTAATATAATAAAAGAAGCTAATAACCACTTATTTAGCAGATATGCATGCTCTTGGTGTAAGGAATAGAGAGGGTCCTCTTCGAGGGAGAACCAACCTCCTAAGGAAGAAGAAGAGTAGGGAGAAGAAGGTGAGAGTAGAGAAATTTGGATTTAATCACTTCTGCCTTCTCTCCTTCTAACTATCTATTTATAATGTCATCATCCTTGAGATCTCATTCTGCTACATTCAAATCATGCATTTTATTCCTCTTCTAACTATCTTGGTGACGTGGCTTCCTCTCATAGACCTAATCAATCAGTCTAGTAGCTGCTTGGGCTGGGATGCCTATTGTATGGGCCTATCATCCCTCCCTCGTTTAGACTAACCTTGTCCTCAAGGTCAGAGTAGGATAGTTTTGTTGGAGCTTGGAGAGGGTTTCTCAGGTAGCATCTTCTACAGGTAAACCAGTCCACTCAATCAAGGCTTCAATTGAGTTCTTTCACCCTTGTAAGACCCATCTGAAATCTACAATCTGCTTGGGCTCAACCACTAACTTGCCTTAGCTTTCTGTAAGAGGTAAGACAGAGCCACCTACTTTAGAATCTTTCAAGTATTTCTTCAACGGAGTTGCATGGAAGATTGGATGTATCTTGGAGGATGCCAGCAGTTTGAGCTTGTAGGTTACTTGGCCAATTCTCTCAAAGATGAAAAAAGGTCCATAATACAGATAAATTGTGGCATGATCGTGTCGCCATGGAAGTTTGCCTGTAAGGCTGTAGCTTAACATAGACCAATTCACCTACTTGGTACTCAACATGTCTACACTTCCGGTCATGAGTTGATTTCATGATCTGCTGTGCTAGTCTTAGATTACCCTTCAGCTCTTATAGAACTTGATCCCGGTTCATTAGATGTTCCTCCACGAAATTTATGGCTGTAGAGTCTAGTTCATAGGGTAGAATGGAGGGGGTGCGTGGCCATAAAGTGCTTGGAAAGGGGTCATACCCACTACAATCTCGAAGGTGGTGTTGTACATAGCTTGGCCCAAGGAAGCCATTTCATCCATTGGCATGGTTGTTCACTGGCAAAGCACCGGAGATAGGTCTCAAGGCAATGGTTAACCACCTCCATCTGCCCATCAGCTACCATGAAGTTTGGCAACATCTCTGATAAATACCTCAGCTACCATGGGTACGCGGTAGGGATGTGGAAAACCTAAGAAGTGCCCATATTTAAGTGATCAACAACAAATAATATAACTGATTTCCCTGCTGATGTATTGTAGGCAACCTAGAAATAAAATCCATAGTGACAGCGTGCCAAACCCATTCTGGAATCTGTAGTGGTTGTAGCAGGTCAGTGGGTGTTTGAGTAGAGTATTTATGTTGCAAGTAGAGCAATAAGCAATGTAATCTTGGACTTGTTTATGTATGCCTTTCCAGAAATAGTGCGAAGCAAGATTTCAGTATGTTCCCATGACACTGGAATTTCCATCCATCACTAAATTATGAAACGGCTACTGTAGCTCAGGTATATGTTCCAACTGGGCTGAGATTACAAACCTGCCATTAGGGTAGAGATCAGAACCAACCTGCTTGTACCTTGGGACTAATACTAAGAGAGGATCCAGGTCTAATTGCTCCCCAGGTCTTGTGAAGTTCTTGGTTGTTCTGGGCCTCAGTTTCAATTCCTCTAAGAGGGAACATGGGCCTTGATATGGTGAGTTATGAAAGCTCTACCCATCTAGAGAGGGCACTAACAACCAGGTTAGATGGGTCGGGCTTGTATTTTTTTTTGGAAAAATAACAAGATTTCATTAAAAAGGTCGGGCTTGTATTCAATCATATAATTGTAGCCGAGAAGTTTGACCACTCATTTCTACTAGTCTTTGGTGAGGACTCTGATCAAGGAGCTGCTCGATGCTCTTTTGGTCAATGTGTATGATAAACCAATTGCCCAACAAATAAGATCGCCATTTCTGTACCGCTAAGAGCATGGCCATGAATTCATTCTCATGGGTTGACTTGGCTTAGGCTAAGATGACAGGGCCTTGCTGAAAAATTCCATGGGCCTCTTTTTCTTGCATCAGTACCACCCTCAGGCCATTACTGGATGTGTCACATTCCACAATAAATGTCTTTGAGAAGTTTGATAAAGTGAAGGTATGTGGAGTGCTTATCACGGCCTTAAGGCCATCAAAGGCTTGTTTGGCCTATTTGGACTAGACAATGCATCTTTCTTGCATACCTGGATGATGGGAGATACAAGCTGCCCATACCCTTTAATAAATTTAGGGTAATAGCCTATGAGGCCCAAGAAGTTTCTCAAATGCTTAACATTAGTGGGCTGAGCGTAGTGAATCATACAGTCTACTTTCTCTGGGTCTATAAATGCTTGGCTTGCTTCCACAAAATGGCTCAAATAATGGACATGGGCCTGGTAAAAAATGCATTTACTCTCCTTGGAGAAGAGATGATATTGGCAGAGCCTTTCAAGGGTGTTAGCGTAGGGGTATTTCTGTCTTTATGCCTTGATTGATGTTGCTAATCTGTAATGTTGTGTTGAAACATGTGCTCTTAACTTAAGTAAGGGCACATAGGT